CTGCCCCACACTGGATGGCAGGCTCTGCACAAACCCTCAGCCCCCCCAACATGGCTTCCCCACCCAGGTCAGTTCTGGTCCTTTAAGAAAAAAAAAAGGAGAAAACTCCTGGGACTCACCACTCCTGCAGTGGCCTCGGGGCTTTGGGGGGCTTGTGGAGAGCCCCCCACATGGTGTGGGGTAGCAGGGGGCAGTGGGGATCCCCCCCCCCCCCACTGGAAGAAGCAGTGAGTGTGGGGGTTTTCTCATTTGTTTTCTTTCTTAAAGGGCCGGAGCTGGCCCAGGCGGGGCACCCGTGGGAGGGCTCGGGGCGTGGGGGGGGAGGGGAGGGTCATAGGGCTCGTACAGATTCAAATGAAATGGATTAATCATTATGAGACTTGGACACATGGGGGATCTTCTTGGACCTGATTCCGTTCTACATTAATTCCCATTTCACAGCAGTGTAGTCATTGAAATCAATGGCGTGTATGCAAGCACTAGGGAAACAAGGATGGGAAATAAGGCTTTAAATTCCCATCCTGAATGACAAAGAGCACCTGAAAAGGAAAGGCATTTTAAAGTCCTAATTTGCTTGTCACAACTGACATTGCTTGTTATCCTTCTGCAGCTCCTTCAGCTGGGGCATGAACTTGACTGCCACTCCAGTAGAAGCTGACTGGTCTACTCCTATTCAATTTCACTGAACGCAGGGGCAGGCAATTATTCCAGGTGGAGGGGCACTTACCGAGTTTTGGCAAGCTGTTGAGGACTGCATTGGTAGCCCTGCCCCTTGACAGATGCACTGCCCTGGTCGCCATCTTGTGACTGGAAGTTCCACTCCCTAACCCTTGACCTTTGCCACCAGAAGTCCCTCCCCTTGTCCCTGAAAGTACTCCTTTCAGCAAGAGGTTTTGCCATCTCGGAACAGAAACATACCAAATTATATTCTAAAAAGTGAACATTGACAGCATTCATTAATTTGGTTTCAAAAAATATTTTTGTCCTGATTTACATGTGTTTGTGTAGTGTACATAGAGGTGATTACACAATACCTGAAAATGAAGTCTTACTCTTGTATATTGTGGGGAGGGGTGGGTGTAGGCTTGTGGGGGGCTATGGGTGTGTGGGTATGTGGAGTGTGGGTGAGTATGTGGTTTGTGTGTGCCTGGGTGCCTGGGGTGTGTGAGGGGATGTGAGAGGTCTGCATGTATGGCAGTGTGGGGGGGCGCACACACTATGCCCCTACCTGCCTGCGCTCACACACTGTCCCTGCCTGTATACACACACACGCACACGCACACTGTCCCTGCCTGACCCCCACATACACTGTCCCTTCCTGCCTGCATACATACACACATGCATGTGTGCATACACATACTACCTGTGCTCCCCAGTCCAGCAATGCAGCCAGCAGCCACATGGTGCTGGAGCAGTGCGGAGGCAGGAAGAGAGTGAAATGGCTAGGGGTGGGTGGGGCTGGACTGTTCACTCCTACTGAGGCTCCTCCTGGGTCCTACTGCCCCTGGATTTGTCAGTTTTGAAAGGCTACAGTGGCAGATAAATATTAAGTTTCTAAATTTTTTAGGGGCCCTGCAGGCCACATAGAATGGCCTGGTGGGCCAGATCTGGCTGGCGGGCTGTATTCTGTCCACTCCTGACTTAATGGTTCCATGAATAAGCTCAGTGCTGAAATCTTTGGACTACAAAAACCTGTGAACAGACAGAGTCCCTTTAAAACTAGACTCCTCTCTCATGTCTGAGAGATGCTATCTTGTTTTCCAGCAGCTCCAGTATGAAAGAGATGTTAATGTGAAGTGTTTTAAATCCTATATGTCTAATGGGCTTTTGTCCTCAGGAAGAGATTTTACAGATGAGAAAAAAGGAGCAAAACCAGAGAAAGAGCACAGACCACGCCTGCTTATTCTACCTCAAAGAGCTACGTTCTGAAGTCAAAGGGAGTTGAATACATATATAACCAAAGCTGAAACTTGGCCCAGAGATTCCAAAATAAAAATCTCTGGTTTAGATCAGGGAGATAAACTGTTTGAGTTGCTGTTTTATAATGGCCATGGTATTTTTGTCTGTCTGCTTGTACTTCTTGGCTCAGCTGGGGAAAGGAAGAAATATGTTGACGTTTCCCCTTGTAAGCACAAAGTTAACAGGCCAAACTTCTAAAATATAAATTCAGTCACCAGTGCAGATCCCTGAGAACTAGCAAAAAGCATTAGGGCTAGATAAAACATGTTGTTATTTCATTCATCACAAGAGTTTCTTTCAATCCTGGATGAAATATTTTATTTCAGATACTTACAAAATGAAGGAAAAAGAAAGTCTAGATTCACAAAGCAGGAAAAAGAGGTGTTCTATGATTTTAGTTAGCAGTCAGCCAGGAAGCAAGGGACCTGGCTTCAGGTTCCATCCTTGGCTTTCAGGGGGCAAACCCACATCTCCCACTTGCCACAGAAGTGCCCAGTCATTAGGCTAGAGGCCTTTTGTGTCAGTGAAGGTACTCTGGACACAAATTACGCCTTATACAAACATGCCCTCACTTGATCAGGGACAATAACCCAGGGATCCCACTTCTTGGGTGTGTCCCAATATCCAGTGGTTGTCAACCAGGGTTACGTGTACCCCTAGGGGTACTTGAAAAGATCACGGGTGGTACGCAGAACTAAAGTGGCTGATACATGACATGCACGTGTGCACAGCCATAGCGCAGCATGCAGGTGGCCAGGAGAGCATCCAGGTCTGTCTGGTAAGTGTGTTGTGAGGGAAGGGGCTGGGAGGGGGTGGCGATCAGATCGAGGCCCCAGCAGTGGGGGGGGAGTAGGGCTAGGGCATAGACAGGGGCTGCCCAGCTGGGGTGGGGCTCCAGACTGAGCTGCATGGGGGTGGATCCCGCTGCTGCGCACACCCTGAGGGAGGGCATGGGGGGGGTGCCCCTGGAACTGCACATGGAACAGGGCGGGCTGCCACTGCAGGCTGGGACTGGATCTGTGCCAGGCTCTTCCTGGCAGGGGCTGGGCCAGGCTGTGCTCGGGGCAGGTGGCGGTGGTGCTGGGAGGGAGCTATGAGAGGGACTCTAGCCACTCCAGAATTCACCATAGCCCCCACAACCCATCCTCCCAGCACCGCCTCCACCTGCCCCAACACCCCCACCAGGAACAGCCTGGCATTGGCACCAGCCCCAACTTGCAGCAGCAGCCCACCCTGCCCCGCACGCAGATCTGGGGTCACACACCCCCTATGCCTTCCCAGGGTATGAGCAGTGGATGGAGTCTCCCCTCATCCCCCCTGATGAACTGCTTGCGGCCTTGAGAGAAGCATCCATGGTGAGGAAGGGAGTGGGGCTGGTGCTGGAGCTGCACACCTGTGGTGGGGCGTGGGATGGAGCCATGAGCGGCTCATCCAGGGGTTGTGAGGTGTCTCCTGCAGCTGTATGCACCCAAGGAGGCACCGGGGGGCATTCACCCCTGGATCTGTGCACAGGGCAGGGTGAGCTGCTGCTGCAGGCTGGGGGCAGGGCTGCACTGGGCTGTTCCTGGTAGGTGCTGGGCCAGGCTGCGCTTCAGATGGGGGGTGGTGGTGGCACTGGGAGGGGGCTATGGGAGGGGCTGCAGCCACTCCAGAATTTGCTGTAGCCCCCCGGCCCCCTCTCGCAGCACTACTGCCACCCTCCCCAAGTGCAGCCCGACCCAGCCTCCCCACCTCCTGGAAGAGCCGAGTACTGTCCCCAGCCCACAGTGGCAGCTCACCCTGCCCTGAATATAGATCCAGGAGCACATGCCCCCCATGCCCTCCCAAGGGTGCCTGTAGTGGCGAGGGCTACCCCCTACACAACTGTCCCTCTCCTCGCCCTGGCTAGGCAGTCCCTGCTCCTGCCTCTGCCCCTGCCCCTGCCCCCGTCCCACTCCCTCCCCCACTGCTGGGCCAGTGCATCCTGCCCTTCACACAGATCTGGGGGCATGTGCCCCACATGCCATCCTGAGGTGTGTGCAGTGGCAGGAGTCATCCCCCCCCACCCCGGATGAGATGCTCACAGCTCCATGCCATGCTCCGCCTCAGCTGTGGAGCCCCAGCCCCAGCCCCAGACCCACTCCCTTCCTCACTGCAGGGACATCAATCTTCCCCCTTCCTGCCCCTTAAAAACAAGAGAAAATATAATGGGGTACATGGGCTGACACTTTGAGAGAAGGGGTACACTTGTTAAAAAAAGGATTGAAAATCCCTGCCCTAATCAGTAGGACAGAGAATCATTGTCCCTGTATAGCTCTGAAATAGAGTCAGCAGGAAAGGATGAGAACACATCACTTCCCAGAACACTGTGTCCTACATGGCAGGCAGTGAGGTGGGCTCAGATCCCTCCATTCTGAAGGGAACATCAAAACTGGATCTCCCTTATTGTGGGACAGTGCTGCAACCATGCAGAGGCACATCATCCTTGCTGCTCCACTGGCCTCTGCCTCTTCTGACTGTTCTAGCCCTGAAATATTAAAAAGAAAAAACATCAGTGGAAGCCACTTATGGACTTGTGTTATTGCAGGATTAGTCAGAGGTCAGTAGCCAGGACAACAAGTCAACAAGCAGTAGCAAAAGGTAAGCCCAAGACACCACACCAATATCAAGGGCCAGGACATTAAGCTTCAGGTGTACAGCCAGACTGGAAATCAGCAGGTAAGCCAACGTCACCAAGCTGAAAGACCAGCAAGATCAGATACTGGAGTGTGGAAGCCAGGAAGCCAGGCAGGGTAGAAGCAGGAGAAAAGGTTGGGCAATGCACACAAGAGAAGGGCTGCTTGCAAGAAGGAAGTGCAGATCAGGTGCTAGGTCAGTTCCTTGAAGGAGGAGCTGGAACCAGCCAGGTTGATTTCAGGGTTACAGCTGACTACTTTAGACAACAGAAAGAGAATAAGAAAGAGGGTTGAGATCACAGGTTTAAAATTAGCAGTCTAGAGGGGGATATTGAGCAAAGAACTCCCCAAGAAGCACCTACTATTCCCTGGAGGCATCTAGGGAGTTAGGTCACAACCCCCTGAGAAACTCTGTCTGTCCATCTGGAGTTGTATATCTGAAATTCACAACCAAAACACCAAATTATTTAAACACGTAGGATTAGTCACTTTATCATCCACACACAGATGGATTAATAGGGTAATTTAATACCTGATTTATGCAGCTGATTTAAAAAATAATAATTTAAGATAATCCTTAAAAACTTGAAAATGCACTGTTTTATTGAAGGTTTATTAGTAAAGCATTGGCCCAACCTTGTGACAAATGCCAGAGAACACACAACTGGGATTACAGTTGGGCTAGGGGGAAGACAGGGGTTAAATTAGGCATTTTCAAAGTCCTTAAAAAATACAGAATAATGGAATTGTAGAACAGGAAGGGACCCATAAAATCATCAAGTCTCATCCCCTGTCATGGGCAGGAAGTTATTGGGCTCAAACAAACTCAACAGGGTGCCTGTCCTGCCTCCTCTTAAACACTTCCAAGGATGGCTACTACACCACCCCTGTTGGGAGTGTGTTCCAGATCTGGCAACCTTTACAGAGAAGTAGTTCTCTTATATCTAGCCTGAATTTACCCTCTATAAGCTTATGTCCACTGGCCCTTTTCCTTCCTTGAGGTGCTTTCCTGAAGAGTTGCTCATCTAGATCTTGGTGTTCACCCCTGATGTACTTGTAGTTGGCTATCAAGTCACCTCTCAGTCTTCTTTTAGTCAGACTGAACAGGCCCAGTTCTCCAAGTCTGTCCTCACAGGGCCTATCCTCCATGCCCTTGACCACGCGAGTGGCCCTTCTTTGTACCCTCTCAAGCTTATCCATGTCCTTCTTGAAGTGCGGTGCCCAAACTTGGACACAGTACTCCAACTGGGGCCACACCAGTGCCAAATAGAGAGGGAGGAGCACTTCCCTGGATCTATTGGACACACAACAGCTGATGCACACTAGAGTTCTATTTGCTTTCCTGTTGACCTCATTGCACTGTTGGCTCATATTCATCTTCCAGTCAGTCATAACCCCCAGGTCTTGTTCAGATGCTGTGCCAGCCAGTGGACCACCACCCATCATGTAGTTGTGGTGAGGTAAAGTCCTACCCAGATGAAGGACTTTACACTTATCCCTATTAAACCTCATCTGATTCCATTTTGCCCATGAGTCCAGTCTGTCAAGGTCATTCTGGATCCTAACCCTATCCTCCAGTGTGCCTGTGTTTCCCCGCAGGTTGGTATCATCCACAAACTTAATTGAGCTTTCCACCCCCTCATTGAAGTTGTTAATGAATATATTAAACAGCATGGGTCCAAGCACCAATCCCTGGGGGACACCACTGGAGACAGCCCTCCAGGATGAGGCCATCCCATCAATTACTACCCCCTTGGAGCAGTCGTTGAGCAATTGTCCACCCACGTCACTATAAACTGGTCACGTCCAGCACCCTGGAGTTTGTTTGAGAGAATCCCATGGGAAAAAGAATCAAAGGCTTTAGTGAAGTCTAAGTAAATCATGTCCACCTCATGTCCCTCATCCACATGACTAGTTACCTGTGTTACAGAAATGCCAATTGCTTAAATCACGAGCAAGATCTTATAAAGAGGGATAAGGAAAAATGCCACATTTATTGATGACATCAATTAGACATGGAAGTTTGAAACACCATTCATGCAAACACACACAAATTATTATGCACATCATTACACACAGACACACATATACACAATACACTCATTCTATCTGTGCACATACATCAGATACAGTTACCATCAACAGTTGCTCAATATCAGCATGGCGTGGCCAACCCCAGCTTATTGAGTAGGTGATGATGTTAGAAAATAGCAGCTGGAGAAAGATCTTGGAGTCAGCAGCTTGGAGACAGCAGCTTGGAGCGGGGTGAACAGATGCCTGTGTGCTCCGATGAAACAGCAGTATTTTTTAAGTCTTCTTTTATAGGGATTGGCATCCTTTGTTCTAGTGTTTTGGGTTTTTTTCCATATCCAGCTTCTGTTGTTGCGGTCGTTTCTCATTCGTCCTCTTCTTATCTCAGCCCTGGAGTGTCCTTGCTGCCCATTTGGCAGGATGTGTGCCTTTCTCCTCCTTGTTATCTCCTGTTATGTCTTGGCCTCAAAGGGATTTTTTAGCCATTCATTAATTAGTTTACTGACTGGTAACGTACATTTGGTGCCTTGTTGCTTACATAAACAGTTAAAACTTCTTCTCCTGTCTCTACGCCATTTTCTCACCATTCACCCTTTTACACACACTTGTACATAAAGGCTATGCAGAGTTCATTTACTTATGTCAAGCAGAATGATACAAAATGGAGTTGCTTACAGGAAAAGACTAATATGGTTACATTTCATAATTATTACATTTTATGTTAACATCAGCTACATTAGTTCAGTTCCTGCTACACGTGGTCGTACAAGGCCACAAGATGTGTCAGGCATGATCTACCCTTGACAAAACTGTGCTGACTGCTTCTTAACACCCCACCCATTTCCAGCTTGCAAATAATGGCTTCCTTAATACATTTTTCAAAGATTTTACCCAGGACCGAGGTCAGACTGACTGGCCTGTAGTCTGCAGGGTTATCCCTCTTCCCTTTTTTGAAGATGGGCACCACATTGTCCTTCTTCCAGTCATCCGGGACCACTCCTGAGTTCCACAACCCTTCAAACAGCTTGGCAAGTGGAACTGCTACTAGCTCAGCCAGTTCTTTCTGGACTCTTGGGTGCAGGTTGTCAGGCCCAGCAGACTTGAAGATATATAAGTACTGCAGGAGATCCCTCACCTGTTAAGGACTGATTTCGTGTAGTTTGTTGTCTTCCCCATGTTCCCTGGGCCTCTGGTCAAGTGAACAGTCCCTGTTTGATTTCAGGAATACCAATGTGAAGTATATATTTAGGAGCTCATTTTTTCACAGGCATCAACTGTGCCCCTGAGCATTCATTAGGGGTCCCACAGTGGAGCCTGACTTTTTCTTGATCCCTATGTATCTGTAGAAGTGCTTTTTGTTGTATTTTATTCCAGTTCCCAGATTGATCTCCATGCCTGCCTTGGCTTTTCTGGTCTCATACCTGCAGGCCCTAGCGATACAGGTGTATTCCTCTCTGGTTGCTGAGTCATTCTTCCATTGTTTATATGGTTCTTTTTTCTTTTTTCAAAAGCTCTCTAGTATTCCTGTTAAGCCAAGTAGATCTATTGGTTCCTTTCCCATTTTTTGTCTGCATGGGGATGGCCTCTTTTTGGGCCATTAGAATTGCCTCCTTAAGCAAGATTCACCATTCCTGAACTCCCAAGTCATCTGGTTGCTGGTTGCAGAGGGCCTTTCCAACTAGCCTCTAGAGTTTGCCAAAATCTGCCCAGAATACCACCAATCCTTAGGTCACCTACAATGTCATTGCCTTTGGCCAGCACTAGATCCGGGGTGGCCTTACCCTTGGTAGGCCCTTCCATAACCTGTGTCAGAAACATGTCATCTACTATTACCAAGAAGTTGGCTGACCTGCCAGGGGTGGCCGAGTGATTCTCCCAGCAGCTGTCAGGGTAGTTAAAGTCACCCATAAAAATCATGTCTCTTGTGCTAGCTGCCTCAGTTAGTTCTCTGGAGAATGCCTGATCACCCTCCTCTTCTTGTGAAGGAGACCTGTAGTAGAGTCCCACCATCAGGTCTCCCTCTGCTGATCCTCCTTGTAGCCTGACCCATAGGGTCTCAAGGGACCCTTCTCTGCTGTCAAACATGACCTGTGGGGAGGGGTACTGCTCTTTCACATAGAGGGCCACACCTCCTCCCACCTCCCTTTTCCCCAACTTTTTCCTTCCTGTAAAGCTTATAGCCCTCAATAATGACTGTCCAATAGTGTGTGTCATCCCACCAGGTCTCTGTTAACCCAACCAAATTGAAATCCTCATCAACCAGGAGGAGTGCCAGTGCCTCCTGTTTGTTTCCCATGCTTCTGGAATTCCCATAAAGACACTTGAGCTCTTCCCTAGTTGCCTCAGGTTTTCTGACACACTGCCTGTGTCACAAGAGGTCAGAACCAATCTGGTTGTCCATTTCTTGAATGCCCTCCTGTGTATTGTTGTGGCTACTGGCTTCGTGTACCACAGAGGAGCTTTCTCCCCAGCCCCTGGACTTGCCTAGTTTAAAGCTCTCCTCAACAAGTTGATGACTCTCATAGTGAAGAGCTTCTTTCCTCTGTTCATGAGATGAATACCATCCCTTGCATGTAGACCATCCCTGTTGTAGAACTGTGTACCATAGTTGAGATACCCAAAGAACACACAATGACAACATCTCCTAAGCCTTCGATTTACCTCCTCGATGTGATCCCCGCCCTCTGACTGGGAGGATTGAGGTGAAAACTACCTGTGCTCCTAGGCTTTTCAACTTCACCCCCATGTTCTTGTAGTCTCTTATGATCTTCCTGGGGCTGCTTCTTGCTGTGTTGTTGGTGCCCACATGGACAAGGAGCATGGGATAGTGGTCAGTAGGGTGGACCAGCTTAGGGTCTTTCTTGGTAACCTCTCTTATCCTGGCTCCTGGAAGGCAGCAGACCTCTTGTGCAAGGGGGTCTGGACAGCAGATGGCTCCTTCTGTGTCCCGCAGCAGGGAATCTCCCACGACTATCACCCTACTTGCCTCCTTGCTGGGATCGGCTGATCCTGCACAGATGCAACATTAGTTGATGGTGAGAAAGCTGTGTAACTGTTATGGAGGGTTATTGGTGGGGCACAAGATGCACGCTGTGGCTTCAGTCCTGACTTGACCATTTTTCACTCACCATTGGATGGGGCATCATGGTCAGGTCTTCTCTTCTTCCTGGTCTCTGTGGCATCCTTCTCCAGATGCAGGGCCTAGCATAGACATCAATCTCTGCCTCATGGTCTCTGATGATATGCAACCTATCCACCTCCTCCTGTATTTCACTCCTCCAGCCCTCCAGAGTCTCCAGCAGCGAGCACATCCCACAAGTGGGAGTGCTCATGCCCCATGTCTCAGTAATCAGCAGGCATACCAGGCAGCCCCTGCAGCCTGGAGTCAGGGGCTCTGTTTGTGTGG